CACACACACACACACACACACACACACACACACACACACACACACACGCTCGCGCGCACACACACGCTTACAGATACGTACAAACCTAAAACCCATTATCTGTTATTTAACTTAGCAACATCTAGAAGACAATAACACATGCACGCATAATGTGTATTCAATTTCAAGTTAGACGTTAGACAAGTTCAAGGGGGTGTCATATAAAAAACTCACAATAGAAATCTTTCAAGTATTCTTTAATTGATGTAGTCGCTCTTCTCGTTATAAGTACATTTACGTCTACATCCATACATGTATAAAATGTATAAAAAATTCATACAAATGTCTGCTGCCTTCTCAAGCACCCGCCATATAAGGTGCCGCCGTTATTATATCAACTCAATTAAATTGTAAATATTTGATGCTTATAAACAATTTAATTTTCATTAAATTTCGATCATTGCTTTTTTTTTTGTTTCTAGTGTAGAGAGATTATATTTTTCAACATCGTTATATTGTTAAGTGTCCGATTTACTATACATAAAGAGGTATAAAGACCTAAAAAAACCAAAAAAAAGGAAAAGGCAACACTTGTACTTATACACTACTACAACACTAAGGTTATTAAAAACAGCCCACAATAAATTACGTTCGCGAAACAAATTTATTGGCCATAGCGGCTGGAGATTTGCAAAGCCAGGTAGTAGGCAGACGCTTTAGAGAGCAACACCGCAGAGACATTATTACTTACTTTTCCTTGCTTTTTTTACGACTTAATCTTGTTTTATAAAGAAAATTAATATTGAAGAGTTTTATTATTGTGTGCACGTGTGTATGAGTATTTTACAGAGACAAAGTCACAAAACTATATGCCATTGCGCATGCTTTTCTTATGTCACAAGTTAACTAACGTGTTAAAATGGCCTGGGGTTGCCCGTCGCATAACTGGGATTGAAATCAACAAATTGTCAGCCACATTAGGCGTTATGTCTACTATAATGTGATGCTGAGAGGCCACGTTTTTCCTCTCGTTTACATGCTTTTTTAAAATTCTCTTTCTATGACAACATAAAATTCATTGTCATTCAAATCATTGCGTTTATATTTTAAATAACGACAACCAACTAACATATGACAAGAAAGCACTTTGTCTCCTCTTACGACTACTGACGAAGACCAGAATACGACTGACAGTTGGTCTTCAATAACTTTGTGTTGTCCACTTTTAAAGTTCAAAGAGATTGATTAGGACTTGATTAAAATCAGTTCAATAATACAAAACTTACTCTAGGGCGCCTTGTAACGAAAATAAGCAACATTGCGCAGTTTCCTTAAGCCGAAATAAATATTAAGATTAAGTTTCACTTCAAACGAATGAACGGACTCGCTGTTTTACACCGACCTGCGCCACGCGAAGCTAGAAAATTTTGCATTCTAAATAAGTTTCTTAACGAACAACTCCTATAGTACTTTTATAACAATTTAATAGTTTTACTATACATTCAGAAACATTTCAAATATATACGAAGATAAGAAGTAAATTGAGCATCACCCGACGAGTCGAATGACAGCAGAAGTTCTCATCAGGCCACGTAGATAGAAAATTCATATCAGAAAATCATTACTGATTATTTAGAAGCACTGAAGAACTGATCTTGCGAGGGCAACTTTGTGAAAAACTATGCACAAAGGTTGGCATTTGCAACTGTCGCACATGCTCTTCTTACAAAATGATTTAAAAGTCCATCCTCTCTTAACTGCCGAGGTGGGGGTGTATACAAATTTAGAATGTTCCTGAAAAGACTTTAAAAAGGGATTGATGTTGAATCTGTCCTAAAATATTTGATTGTATTTTTCAAAATACTTAGTGCATACTTAAGCTATCCATTACTTCGCTTATCAATTTGAATAGGTTAATTAAGTTTCTGCGCAAGTACTTGAGATACACGGACCGATTCAAAGTCACTTACTGAATTGAACTGAGATTGTCTAGCCGCCTGTCCGTCTTGTATTTGCGGTGTTTCGGTCGAAGAACGAAGGCTATTGAAAATTGTCCGGATCGGTGCTTATTTCCGACCACTTCCCATATAGGGCTTCATTTGAAAAGATCATCATTATATCAATAACATTATTATTAAACGAAGTGGTATAAGATATTTAATGTTGTTACTTGCGTTCACACATTTTATAATCTTTTAATGGAATAATTTAACTTTGTTTAACTTTATTGGCCTTCTTTGATTCATTAGTTCATTAACTGCACTTTCGAGACGTGTTTTGGATCAGTCAGGAGCAGATTCGCCAAGAATGAAGGAGAACAACCGCAAAACTAGTCATTGTCGCAGCCATTGCTTTGCAAATAGATTCACACCCAACGTGACCGGGCTGCGACCGACTATCCATCCGCACCGATCTTATTTGATTTCACTGTCTAAACCTAAATAAAAAAAAAAAAACTCGGAACCCATAACTTGGCTAAAGAATAAACTTAAGTCAAACTCGCAACGAAGCCATAAATGAAAAGTTGTGCCCACAAAAATTGTCTCTAATGGTAACTACTACCTTATTGGTCAGGCAATTTTGGTACAAGCTGGGAGAATTGTATACGCGAAACGAAATGAGATGAATGGTGACCTTAATGGAAAATTGATCAAAGTGTTTTCTTAGAATGATGAAGCGGTTCTGCAAACTAACATTATGTCCTCCGATTTGATCGAAAAAATGTCACTGCTTTATCCAATTTAATAATTTTATATACCAAGGATTGTAAAAAAATAAATCTACAACATAAAATAATATGTCATTTTTCTGTAAAAGATTCTGCAAAAAGGGATTTTTTCTTGAACTTTTTCTTGAAATTCTTAAAACTAATAATTAGAAAAAACATTTTGCTTACCTTTCTTTTCAAATAATTTATCTCATGTTGAACTTTCTGTTGCTCCTTAATCTCCACTTCTTTCAGTTCGTCCAAAATTTTTTGATATTTCTCACGATTTTCTACATCTAGAGCAACATGCAAGTAGTCGTGCCAATTGCGCGAATCAAAACCCCAATGACAAGTACGATTCTCAACTTTACGATGCACATGACCTACAAATTTCTGGGGTGAAAACCAACCTTTACACTCCAAACACATAATACAAGTAGGTTTCGTATAAGAATACATATCCGGTGTACAAATGCCTTCGCATTTCCCAAAACAACGATGATAGACTTTAAAGGAGATGGCGCCCTTAGGTATATCTTCTACGTTAATGTAACTATTACGGTCAGAGCGATGCAAGAGAACGGCACATAGACGTTCAGCATCGGTACGCGTAATGAGACCGCTAGACTTGACATCTGATGGTAATATTTTAGCTGCCTTAAATTCCATGAGCTGATCGGGTGTGCATTGAGAACAAAAAATGCCCAATTCGTCAAAGCTTCGATTGATTTGTTCGAGCGAGAAATCAGCCAAAACATTATTGAGGAATTGTGGTAAACAAAGACGCATTTCGCCGCCCAAAGAAAAGCACCCAATTGTCTTACCCTCCAGACGCGTCTCGTAAAGTTCACCTGATCCGGAATCGGCAGCTGACAATATCGGCTGGGATACTTCAGGTGGAGGCGGAGGCATAATTTTGATGCTTGATGGCAAAGCAGCCACGGTTGTAGAAGTTGGCGGCCCTTCCGGAAGCTCATGAAGCGGGGGAGGAGGTTGAGGAGGAGGAACAGGTTCTGGTGAAGTGATTATTTCCTTCTTTATCAAAGGCAAGGCGGGATTGGCAGATGATGATTGTGAGGAGGCTGGCGTATTCAATGGACAATGACCGGTTTTGGCTAAATCGCAAGGACTCGAACGCATGCCAACGGCCAAGCCATGCATATCGTTTGGACCCAAACCAGGTCCAACACCAGAACCGCCATTGCCATTAATGTTGGCATCTAAAGCACAATTGGCACCAGGGGGACAGACGCCCCCTGTATTCGCTAAAGTATGACCGGGACCTTGAAGACTTTTCGGAGCAGTTGTTTGATATTTCTTCAGCACGGTGTGTATATTCGGCGGTGTTACGTATTCGGTCATATTTAATAAACCTCACGACGTTGATAACGAGACCGGCTCTTTCAGTGTAACCGTTATTATTAGTTATTTTTACTTATTCGATTTTCCTCAAAACTTTAAGTCAATTTCGAAAGAAATTGATTAAAGTTCTCTTCATCTAATATATTAAGCGGCATTTTTCGCAATTTTACTATTTTTGCTATATTTCATAAAATTTCACAATTTTTAAGATAAAAATAGATTTTTTACTTTATTTAATTTTAATAATTTTTGGCACATTTTCTAAAAATTTCCAATTTATTGTGTTTGCTTTACAAAGCCGTCGGCAAAATCACGTAATTTTCCTTTATAAAAACATCTATCGTTTTTGCGGCTTTTTTCCTACATTCAATACGTAGAATAATTGCAAAAAATTTTTTATTGTTTATTTTTCTTTTTTTTTTTTAAGACCGACACTATAACTATAAAACACAGAAATGAAAAAGATATAAAAATCACGAAACAAAAGCAATCTCTAAGCAAATCAATTCCACATACACAAAGCAATGGCTTGAACAGAAGATACAATAAATAAATGTCGAATTTTAAGACCAATAGCAATATGATGGTTAAAATAACGCTGATGATAACAGCTGCAGCAAATTTAAACTGGTGCTGCTCACTTAAGCTGTCACTTAAAGCTTATCGTATGGAAATGACGAAATTCCAATTTGAACTATCTGGCTTTCGGATTAGTGGCCGTTGTTGTAATAATCATAGATTCGACTATGTACCAGTCGTTCAATTTCTGATAAGGATGGATTTTCATAATGTTCGAGTTGAAACTTATTCATCTTTGTTTTTTGTAATTCTAAAAATCCGTGCGATTCTCTTCTGCTTATTATCGTTTCGTTCGGTACATTTGTCTGTGCTCACGTCAATAGGGATGGAGTTTAACGAGAGAGCATGAGCTGATTGTTATTGAATTGAGAAACGAGTGAATTATTGATGTGAAAGATATCTTATTTCTTGTTATGGTTATATGATTTTTGTTATTGTTTGCAGTATTCTTGTCATTACTTTAAGGCGCGTGTTTCACTCCCTCAAATATGCGTTTTTATCATTTAATTTACTAGTAATATTATTATTATTATTATTATTATTATATTAATATTAGTATTAACTATAAGTGAACCCATTCACACGTACACGCACACAAAGAGGTAAGAAGCGTGATTAGAAGTAACGAACTGCCGATGGCGAACGCGCGTAAAAATTTTTACGTTCTTATGGTTAAAGGCCAACAAATGACGAGCGACGACACAATAATAATAAGAAAACAGAGGTAAGTAACTCTATAGCGTCTTTACATCATGATTCGATGACAGTACATATATACATACATACATACTTATACAACTATATAATTGTGATGAGTGTGCAGTTTATTCTCACGTTTGGGGCTCGGATATTTTTTATATTATGCACAAAGAATGAACTGGGCTGCGGGCCGGGCAAAAAATCCCAACGCAAAGAATTATTTTAACAAATTCTTTCTAATTTTAAATTTAATACACAAACACACTCACACTCTTTAAATTTGTACGCACACATGCACATTCATGTCGTTGTTGTCGCCAGATCGAAACAATTTGCATTCACTTTTCCGTTTTGTTAGATTTGCTTAATTTTTCGATTACTTCTACAATTTTCGCATTGTTTTTCTCTTTTTTTCATTCAAAAAAAAAAAAAATTTATATATATACGTAATTTTTCGTGAGAACTTTTTTCACATTTTATTTTGCTTTGCTCCCCTTTTTTGGGTTTATCTTTCTGCCACAGATTCATTTCCCTTTTTCTCGTCATTCATTCCCTTCTTGCCAAGCACTTTATTACTATTTATAAATTTATTTTGGTTTGCATTGCATTTCATTATTGTTGTTGTAAAAATATCACAATTTCATCTAAAATTTATTTTTTATTTTCAATAAAAACTTTTGGCGTATTTTCAGAAATTCCCAACGATTTTTTTGCACATATTTTTATTTCTCTTTTACAACAACAACGCAAATACTGACGGCAGCATGCTCGAAAAAATACACGTCTTTCTCATTGTTTCGCTGCTGCTGTTATTGTTATCATTATTTTGCTCCCCCCTTCTATGAATATATACTACAATGAGTGTGCATGTGTGTAAGTTTCTGACACATCCAATATTAAAAATATTGTATTTTCTGTTTGTGTTCTTTTCTTTCCACTTTAACACTCGCGCAGCGTTCGCGTGTCAACCTTTTACGGCAAAATTTCACAACGTACACGATGCAACAACAGTTTCAGACTGTGATGCATACTTATACAATTCTTTTTATTTAATATAAAACACATAAAACACAGAGATGGCCATAAAATCTTCGGTTGTTGAGTTGTTGAATAGCAAAAGAAGAAGAAGACATAAAACACATCTGTAATTATACAACTCAAACACCTGATTCTCAAACATATGTTTATGCAAATGCTTTTAATATTTTTCAGTAAGCGCGATTAAAACCTTTTAATTTTCAAAGAGACGAACAACTTTTATTATTTATTTTGAAGAAGAAAAGAGTAAAAATTAAAACCTTTTCTTTTTCAGTTTTTCAAAGCAAAGAAAAGTTTCCGTTCTTTATTCCGGAAAGGAGTGCAAATTAAAATAATTGCGAATATAAATTTTGTTTTGCTCAATGCTTAATAGGGTGGCCAAATTACCTCAGACACTACCATGTTTGTACAACAGTTTATGACACTGGTAAAATGCGCTGTAATTCAAATACTGTAAAATTTTATTATTTCTATTTTTTTTTTAACATTATTTTGAGTAAACACAAAAGGCGGAAACGACACACGTCTTAGACTTTTACAACTTGCTTAAATGAAAAAGAGAGTTAGTTACATACCAGTAAGAGTTAAATATAATATATACTTATCTATTTTAACCATAATGATGGAAACCACGATCTATAACAAAGTTTGGCTTTCTTTTTAAGATCACGTCACAAAAACTATCTCAGATAATAATCATAATAATAAGATTAATAAAGACTTGAGTAATAAACTTTTCGTTTATGTGCCTAATTTTACACATGGCGGGTTCCCATCATTATGGTTAAAATAGATAAGTATATATTATATATAATATATTATTATATTTAATAAGCATGCCACTAAAAAGAAAAAAATATATACTAAATTACATCTATTCTATAAGATTGAATATGAATATTTTTCGGACATATAAGCCAAAAATCTATTGGCTTAGTCCATCTCCATTCAACATACCAAAAAAAAAAAAGAATATGAATATTTTAATAAGATTGGACATGGAGATTCGAAGCGCTTGACAAATTGCAAAAATATATACATTAAAAACTTAATTATACAGTTTGTTTTATTTTGCTGGTTTTTGAGTAAAATCTGTTGTTATCTTAACGCACGTTTTTAAAACAAAAATATGTAAAATATGGATGCCAAGTTATCCTTTTTTTCTAATTTTTTGCGATTCTACGTAAGCATTAACAGTGGTATTTGTAGGGAAGCTTGGCAACCCAAAATTGATTGAACGCGCCAATTCTTTATTAGTTCGGTGTGCATTAACTTTCTATTCTATTAGTTCTTTGTTTGTGCTATTATAATTAAAAATATGGACTTGAATGATGCAGTTTTAACCTGCGGTGTTAATCTACAATGGATGAATGTTCTTGGTGTGATTGGTCGCAAACTCACTTATAAGATCGCCACATTAAGATTGATACGAAATGACATACGTGAGCTCTTCATTGAACTGGCTACGGACAAAAGTAAACCTCTAAAGTTCAGAATGAAGAATATAATAATGCACAAGAAATTCATGTCTGAGGGTAAAGCATCCATTAATTTTAAAACTGAAAATTGCGTTATGTATATATCAAATGCACCTCCCGCACCGCTGATGTATTTCTTAAGAACTGTTTTCATTAAAATAAATGGCAATGAACAAATAGATGAAATAGCAGCCCAAAAGCAATTGCGGGCACACATGTTATCGGAAAAACCGTCAATATTCGAGGAAGTATCACCTGTTACAACATCTGAAATGGTTTTGGCTCGGAAGAAGGCTGGTCTCATAACGAAAAATACTCCTTTGTTGGGCGAGAGTAGGAAACGTAAATATGAGGAAATCAGAAATGGTGATGGATTGATGAACAAAGCGCCTGCTGCTAAAAAACTTTACCAGGAATCGCCACAAAACGATTTGAAAGCAGAAGATTCTATAAAATTGTGTACAGAACAGATGGAAGTCTTGCGGGCTTGTACTTCTGGTAAGAACGTTTTCTTTACTGGTTCAGCGGGAACGGGAAAAAGTTTTCTACTTCGTAAAATTATCTCAGCTTTGCCTCCGGATGGAACCGTCTCCACAGCTTCTACAGGTGTAGCAGCTTGTTTAATAAGTAACCTTCTTAAACGTATTGCAAATTAAAATATTTATGAGAACTTTTATTAGGTGGAGTTACTTTGCACGGCTTCGCTGGTATCGGAAGTGGTGAGGCTTCATTGCAACGTTGCTATGAATTGGCGTCACGTCCTTCGTCAGCTCAAGCCTGGCGAAAATGTAAACGGTTAATTATTGATGAAATTTCTATGGTGGATGGAGAATTTTTCGATGTAAGCTTTAAAAGTAGGCGAAGATTTTATGAAATAACCTAGAATTGTGCTTATGTTACAGAAAATTGAAGCCGTAGCGCGTCATGTACGTCGTAATGATCGCCCTTTTGGTGGTATTCAACTTATACTTTGTGGTGATTTTTTGCAACTGCCGCCGGTGACCAAACGGAATCCTACTTTAGGAAACGTTGACGCACAGCAGCAACGCTTTTGCTTTCAATCAAACGCTTGGGAAAAGTGCATTGAATTCGTTTTTGAACTGAAAGATGTTCATCGTCAATCCGACCCTGAATTTATAAAAATTCTGAATCATATACGTATTGGCCACGTCAATGAAGGAATAACAAAGCGTTTGATAGCGACTTCAAAACAGATCATTGAAAGTAATGGCATTTTGGCTACTCAGCTGTGTTCACACACTAATGACGCCGATTGCATTAATGAGACCAAGCTCGAAAACTTGGCAGGAGAAAAGGTTCTCTTTAAAGCTGAGGACTCTGATGCACATATGACGAAACAGTTGGATGCGCAGGTCCAAGTGACATCAGAACTTTACTTGAAAGTTAACGCACAGGTGATGTTATTAAAAAATGTGAATATATCATCAGGCTTAGTAAACGGTGCCCGCGGTGTCATTGTGCGTATAGAAAAGGGCCTGCCGGTAGTGCGTTTTAAAAACAACATGGAGTACACATGTAAACAGGAGAAATGGATTATCAAAACCCCTTCAGGCGGAACAGTAACGAGACGCCAAGTTCCTCTGAAATTAGCCTGGGCATTCTCTATACATAAGAGTCAAGGACTAACACTAGATTGCGTTGAAATGTCGTTATCAAAAGTGTTCGAAGCTGGCCAGGCCTATGTAGCTTTATCCAGAGCAAAATCCTTAGATTCTTTACGTATATTGGATTTTGATGCTAAGCAAGTATGGGCTAATGCTCACGTGCTACAGTATTACAAATTATTCAGACGACGTTTACAAAATATCACAATGATACCTTTAGGATCGAGAACCGCAGAAGAAAAGGAACGCAAAACTGCGAAAAATGCAAATAGTTTAGACAAATTAAAAAAAAGTCTCATGAACAAACCTTTAGTCTCCATTAGTTAATTCGTTGTAATTGAAGACTGGCTTTCCTAATTAGAATTAAGATTTAAACAAATTATAGCCTAGACAAAAACTATAGACTTTTAGTAGCATTAAATTTCAAATTACTACTTTTACTACCGTACAAAATTGAACACCACTTTTCAGCCAATATATGATAATGAAAAATCTCCAATTTTTCTATTGATAGATTTGGTGTTTTACTCGTGCTGATCGCTTCTATACATTTTTGCTATTCTTATTAAGAAAATAAACCGAATTACTCTTCAGGCACTTCCTCACGTTTATTTTTGCCGGTACCAACTGGGCCATAACGGCGCTCCCAAATTAAACGATGTTTTTGCTTCATATAAGCTGACTTCGCATTCGCATAACCACCCAAATCGCCATCTATTCAAAAAATACATGTTTACTAAAAATTAGTCTCGCAATAATAAAACTTTTACATTTGATAAACCAATTTTCAGCTGCCTTTTCATATTGTTCTAAAGTTTCTTTACACTTCTCAAGATGATCTGGGGCTTCATACATCGTACAGTCCTCGAAACGTTGTCGTAAAATAGAGACGACTTCATTGTCCACCATCCGATCACGACGAAACTGTTGATCGGCTTCAAATCGGCACACCACATCATCAGTATAGCACTGGTCGATGGTGGGTACGCGGCGATATTGTTGATGATACCATGGATATTTTTTTTGATTCGGTTCAACGATACTTTCTGTCAGTAAAGAAACATTTTTATTTGTAAACAAATTTAATTGACATTTGGGGTTATGTTATTATGTAATGTAATGTAGTAGTAAAAAGCATATCGATTTCAATAAAGTAGTGTACTTTTATAAATTCACCTTAGCTCAAATTACCTCTAAACCACGTTACTGGCTTATCGAACATATCATAAACAGCATTGGAAAAAGCTTCCAATGGGTTGCGAGCTTCAGGCATATTTACGTTTTCGCTGTTGTTGATACTATTGCGGCTGCTTGGCTGAAATACATCACAAGAATTGGAAAGGTAAGAAGTGCCTAAACATTGCTCAGGAACGGGATTTTTTTCTTTTTATATTTATTTTTACTTACTGTATCCAAATAAGTTTTCGGAAAGAACTCTGAATTTTTCTATAAAATTTTCCTAACTCGATACATAAACACGTACAACAGCTGTTTCGAAATGTCAACAATGACTAAATATAGAGGTGACTTTAATTAAACATATCTGTCTCAACAATTAAGAGTTAGGCTAGGAGACGGTTTCCATCCCATAATGTACCACTTGTGGTACTGGGTATATTAAGTTTGGGCTAAATTTATAATAATAGTAATAATAATTTTATAAGTTAGCCTAAAAGTAGACCGCCACAATTTTTTTTTATAAAATTAAACAAAACTGGCTTAATTTTCTGCTAATTTACAGAACAAACGCTATACTCTGTGCTAATTTACAGAGCGAACGTAATACTTTATGTTAATTGTAAAGCCGCCGCCAAAGGTGCCCCAATTTTATATTTTTCATTACTTGGCAACGGTATTTGTCCAACCTAGAAAACTAGTTATGACAACGGAGCGTTAGCAACGCAAACATAGAACCACTACTTTTTGAACATTTAACAGACTGAATGGCGTTAACATTTAAGTTGTTAAGTTGGGCTTTTAACCATTTATATCTATTATAAGCGACTCTGTGCTTTGCTTTTCAACAGGGAATTTAGCGAGGGCATTTTTTAAAAATTATGACGGTTTAATTCTAAGCTAACTTGTAAAATACAAGAAATTTTAAATGTTCGATATTAACCTTTCACACATTCAATTAGGTAAAAATCTTCACACTTTCAAGCATGTATGACATTGAGAATCTATGACTAAGAAAATAGGATTTCGATCATTTAAAGTCTCTGAAGGGCTAGTCAGCAAACATTGTACGAATATATGTGTACTAGTTATACATTTTAACTCACCTCTCTCCATAGGTATTATGCATGCACTGGCACGACATTGAGTTAAAAGTCGAGACTCTTGCCACTCAGGCGGATAACTGGTAAAATTAAATAAGTTTAGTTCGCGTATTTTCCAAAACACAGATAAAAAGCGACCAAGTGAAGGAAGAAGAATCGGAAACAATCAGGAAACCATTAAAATCATTAAAAAGAATAACAATTTCTTTTATATATATCTATATATATATATATCTATATATATTAATAAAGCTATGTTAAGTATATAATAAAGCTATTATATAAATAAAGCTAAATATAAATTATATAAATTAATATACAACAACAGGAAAGAAGTTTGATTTTCCCAATGACAAATCAAAGCGGTTGAAAAAGTGTTTGTTGCGATGGGTTATTTAAAATTAAATTTTGGGTTTAATGACAACAAGTGCTGTTTACGAAATTTTGGAACATTTAAAGTCGAATGCCCAGTTTGGTTGGATTCATCATTAAGAGCCATTAGTCTTTTTCTGGTTGCGGTTGTTCTAAACTTGGATTCCATACTTTTATTCGATATCCGAGCTTTTATATCTTTTAATTCAGTTTCATAATCCGTTTCCTGCAAATCATCTTGACATTCTCTTAGAATATTTTGTATGGATATTTTGCTCTCTTCTGATATGGAGATTTTTTTACCATTCGCTGTTTGAAAACCTGCAGAAATAAAAAAATAAATAAAAAAATTAGCATAAAACGAGTGTGAGGAATATTAATGTCATATTTTGGATTATTTGCTTATTTCCATTGGGAGAGTTATTTATCTTCTCGTTTTGATCTAAGATTATGGAGGCAAATAAGTCATCGTCATCTTCATCCCAATTTTCACTTATCCCAGTTTTACACTGGTTAGATGGTACTAAAGCTGAAAAATTCTCGATTAATTTAAATATTGTCTCATTGCAGATTTTAAAAACAACTTACTTTCATTTACGTTGTACGTGTCCTCTTTCTCGATATAACCACGATCTGAAGCTGCAAAGTTAGGGTTGTTCAAAAAAGCCTATAAAGAGCAACGTACTTTCTGAGATGGACTTGTCATGATTGCTATCAATAGCGGCCTTAAATTTTTCCTGCAAATTTGATTTTGCCTTTTCTCTAAATTCACGGCTATAATTTCTTTTCGGTTTCTCCTGTAATATAAATAAAGGCGACCGCTCCAAATTTCTGTCAGGCGACATAAATAAATCACAAATATTGATCTTTGTAGGGGGTTTCTTAAAGCAGATATGGAAAATTTCGGCCTTCTACCTTTTATAATTGCTGAGTAACTAGCAAAAACCCACAAATTTTTGTTAAGATAAAGGGAGTTGTGTTCAGTTTATACCCTACTACGGGGATCTGCGCTGACCAATTTGGCTCGTTTTCAGTACCAACTTTTTCACAAAAACTTTCGAATTTGCAGTCGATGCCTTTATTTGTACAACCAGTAGAGTGGCAATAGCAAACACCACACAGACACACAGACGGACAGACATGGCTTAATCAGTTCGTAATTGCATGCTGCTCAACAATACTTTACCGAGTGTCTGAAGCTTCCTTCTGGGTATTAAATACATTATGGAAAAAGCAAAATGAGTATCCCGTCCTTCAGTAGTGGGTATAAAAAGATAAGTCCACTAATTCTCCTTCTGTTTCTTCCTCTGTCTCGATCAATAAAAAAAAAAAAAAAACTTTATCACCTGCACGCTGACAACTTGCACGCCTTCATTTTGGGCTTCTAATACATCGTATAAGTGTCTAAGGATCTGCTTCTACTCTCCTATCCATCTATCCCAAGGTGAACAGTCTGTAACGTCACGCCAGCTAGTTTGTAAACTATATGCACGACAGACTGACACATTCAACATAAATTCTTTTTCAAATTTGTTTGAATATATATGGAAAGAGAATATTCTTTTTTTTTTGAAAATAGGATAAAATCGAATGCCACGCCTATAAAAATTGTATAAAACTATTCAGGAGACGTACAAGGGGAGATGAATTTAATTTAATTTTCAACTAATATCGAAACTAATATCAAAACTCTTTAAGGCATTACTCAGTGCGACCATTGAAAAGTTTGCCATTGCTTATCGTATAGAGCGTGTTCTGAAATCAGTCAACATTTGAATGCAATTTTTAAACCAAACTTTTTTTTATGGTTTAATTGTTTGTCTGTTCACAGGCTATATTTACTAAACCCTGTGATGACGGTTGGACGGTCCATGGTAATTCTGAAACAAGCAAAATCCTTATATTATTTATTTTTATAGCTATGTGAGCACTTCTACAGCACGATTTAACGCTGGAACTATGCGGGTTAATTGTTGACGTTTCTCAGCGGACATAAGGCGCGTAAAACACGAAAATTGTTTTTGATTTTCTATATATTTGAAATATATATTATATAAATATCTTTAAACAATTTTTCTGCATCTAGTCTTAGGTCTTAGGTCAGACGCAACAATGAAAATAAGTGGCTGATATTTCGAGCTCACATTTGTTGATCGGTTAAGAAACAGAGATTGAAAAATTCGTCCGATCTGATCACCTCCACGCCTATAACCTCTAAAAACAGCGACATTCTTGTAACTTCTTGTTTTCAAAACTCTGCTAACGAAATGAGAAACAGAACCATTTGCATGTCTTCGGTCCCAAAAAAGATCACGACAAGTTTCGGATCTTCATCTTTGCGTCTGTGGCGTTTCGAAAAAGATTATTGATCAAATTGCTCCATTAGGCAAATACGCTTCAATTGTAATTCTTTTTCTTTTGAAATAATTAATAGTTTTCTTTAAAAATCTACATTGGATAGGCCGCTGATCCTTATACTAATCGTATGTCCAAAAAAAAAAATAATACTTTGGGGTTCGGAGTCGTATTTGCCCTATGAACGTACGATATTTGCAAATAACCATTTCTTTTTAACTTTTAATAAAATGTTATGGGGGTGTTTTTGTTTGAAGGCAAGTTATCTTCAAAATATACTCTATTTTAGAGACAAATAAAAACGGTATAGTCGGGGAAGATTGGCTGCTGGATAGCCTACGCGACTTCGCAGAATACAGTTATTCAATCGAGTTCGTAATGACACACAAAAGTTAAACATTATTTTTATGCAAAGGTATACGATGATGAAAACGCGCATATACCTAATGGGCGGCGGTATCTAAAAAATAGAGCCACATGGTCCATATCGACTAAAATTAATTTCTATGTCAGTTTATTGTTATGAAATAATTTTCTCAATAAGGTGTTAAATATTACACCTTTTGACTATATAAAGATTCGATTATAGGAGAGAGAGCTCAAAAAAAAGTTTTGCCAACCGAAACAAGTATTTCATAACAATTTAGAATGTTCAAATACGATTACAAAGCGAGTTTTGTCGGTAAATCTTTTCACGTCTGTCCATGTAATTTTGCGTTCAAGTTTAAGTTCGCAATTATTAAGATATTTTGATGAGGGACGAACGCTAATAAAAATGGTTTCCGATTCACACTTTTTCGACCACCTCCTATGTAATACCCTATTTTGGAAAGACATCGTATGGAAAAAATGGCAATTTTCAAAATTTTTTGAGAAAAGTCGAATAGTATATCGGCATTCTAAATTAGTACGAAAACTTTGGATCGTCTAGGGCAACTTCTGAACTATTTCTTATATAACGAAAACCGAATAGTATGAACAAAAGGTCTAAGTTTCAATGCTTCATGATAAAAATCCGATCACAATAATAATTTACGATAAAAAAATGCACTCTACAAATTTTGGACCACCTACCCCTATTTTTGGATCTAACCTTATATAAAGATTTTTACGAAAATTTTTGCTCTTTAAAGAAGAAAAATTTAAGTCTTAATATGTTGTGTTGAAAATTGATCCATAACAGTAATTTGATATAAAAATGAACTCTACCAAATTTCCATGACGTACGCCTATTTTCCGATTCTAGCCTTTATAAGGATATGCACGAAAATTTTTTGTTTTTCAGGCAGAAGAGTCCATTTCTTTAGATTTCATGATAAACATTGTTCCATAATAGTAGTTTAGTATAAAAATTAATTATGCTGAGTTTTGAATATCTGCCACAATTTTTGAACCTCTCGGCCAGAACCGTTCTTGCGGAAAGTAAGCCTTTATTTATTTGCAAAGCGATCTGATTTTTCAGATACAGTCACACAATAGTTAGCTCCTATAAAAACAGGATATT